CTAGGTTCAACATTTCGCAAATGGTTTTACATGATCGTATTATTGAAAAGCTTGTTCATAGCTCATTTTGAAGCATAGAAAATTTCCTTATCTTTCTACATTTAAAGTTCAGTTAAGACTCTGAAAATCATGCGAAAAGCTTAGAGGATGAATGCCATTGGTTAGGTCAGTAATGAGTAATTGTAAGAGATTTCTCTCTAACGTTTTCAGAAGGAATTTTGAAAGTTTAAACAGGTTATACAGTGAAGTATGAAGCATTTCTGATAATCCTAGACGATTTACTCTCAAAATCATATTGGGCCATTTACTTACAGAGACCGTTGTGCGTCCTTTAGAGAAGACTAGCGTTTTGCGATACTCTTTGGCAATAGTGAAGATTTTTGTATTTATCGCTCAATCTGAATGAGTATGAGCATTGTATTCTGACGTTGGCTCCTCTTATAGTGATCGAGAAAAGATAGAACTGACTTATCCAACGATTCACATGATGAAAATCTATGTGACAATTAATAAAATTAATAGTACGTAGTAAATCAAATCTCGCTGCGTTTACGAACCAAAATTGAAAGTGTATCGGCAGATAACAATGGATTTTTTCAGCCACATCGCATTCAGTTAGTTTTAATATTACGATCTCATGTTCAACTTATGTTCATTATGGGTTCAAAAATCTTGAACTTCTAGAGGGAGAATTGTAATAAATTTAAAAAAATATATTTTGTTCAAATTGATAAGAATATAAAGATTACCATTCATAAATATTAAAAATTAGATCTTAGAACTTTAGGAAAACGACTAGATCCGATACATACGATACATAATTATAATAAGTGATTGTAAAGAATATTTATGAGTATTGCGTTGGATTTTTCAATGAAAACAGTTCTTCATTCATAATCCCAAGAGAAATCGTCCAATATGCTCTATTGTTTTTCCAGTCCTAAGAGACGACATTATAAATAGATTCATCGTTGTGTCTGAAGGTGTGTAACACTAATAATAATATCATCAACAATAACATGTATCTTTTAAAAAGATAACCAATATCATGTATTCAGAGAAAACAAAATGAGTTTGTTTTGTTCACTAAGAATGATAGCATCATAATTTTCATTTTGAAAAAATTATGTTAATAATATATAATGATTATCACTATTTTTTCAAAACAACATAGGATAGATCAAATGCATTACAACTAATAATATGAAAAACATCAATTTTGTAAATATTCAATCAACTCAGATGTTTAGAGACAATAATGCGTCAGAAATGCGCACGATACTCCATGATTGTTTCTTAAAAATCATCGACGATTCAAAACGATGAAGCACTGGATGGGATCTGAATGAGTTACATCTCAAAAGAGATATTTTTTAATTAATACATATTACCGAAAACTCACACTCACTTTGGATGTTGTTTGATCTTACAAAGCCAATTATGATGGATTTGTATCTCTTTTGAGAAGATACGATCTGAATGAAATTGATTACCGCATACCATAACAATAAAGATGATAGAACGAGAAATATCAGAGAAAATTGGTATGAAAAAAATGAGACTCTGTCAGAATGCATCAGAAATTACAATACAGACTGAAAATGAACGCAATTGTATACGTATACACGGATCGAAACATCAACAAATGCGTCCTTAGAGTAGACGAATTGAGCAACGAATGACGCGACAGAATGATGTGCACTCTCCTACTATTTTAAAAAGTATTATTTTTCGCCTTTAGAAAAAACTTTTTACATTTGTAACACCATCTGTGAAGAAAATTTTTTCGAATCCCATACTGTCTCTGCTTATGGTTTAGTGGTGCATCTTCCTCACTTATTTGTCTTTGCGCCATTCCTGAAGATTCGTATGAGAAATATGCGAGCCCACACATATATACCGAGCAGAACACAAAAAGCAAGTGCGTGCTATAGATAAAGCATATAAAGAACAGCAGCATCTACCCATAAAACGAAAGACCGAACAACCATCTTGGATTCGACCGAAATTTTTGTGAACAATAAAATTCTGGCTTCAGAGTGGAAAAAAATAACCATATCAGCGGGTTCTGTGTGATGACAATAGATCGTGTTTGAAATAACTATAGTGCTGAGTTTACAGCGTTACATTTTTTTAATTTGCATGATGGAACTACTTCAAATTCAATTGTGATCTAGTGTGAAAAAAAGAGGTAACGTTTCGATCTCGTGATATACATAATTTTGCAAGCTATGACAGATAGCGAATCATCTTATTGATAAAAGCTTCGTTTTTAAATTTACTGGTTTACTATTCGAGAAATGTATAAGTTACTTAGATTATTATATCATAAAATGAAATAAAAGTGAACTACTATATTACGTTTTTTGTTTTAGATTTAGATCAGGCTATTCTCATTGGAATCGATAATAGTCTGAAATGACTACCAATACATTAGGAGAAATCTTTTACACACAATATCAAGATTGTTCAGAATAATTACTTTCCGATAAAGAACAATCAAATGTAAATATAAAATTTCAAAATGACAATCAGATATGTAAACCACATTGAAATTATGTTTTATAGAGAACCAACTGAGTTGTTGCGTATCCAATTTACGATCAAAATGTATTTTACCCTACTCATTCACTGCTTTCTATGATGAAGAACATAGTGTCGATAATTCTTCTGCTTGAGTTACAAACAAATTTACACAAACAATTGTATTTAATAGTAAAAACTTGAGTCTGATCTACGTTGGCATTAATTTAGTTTATGGTAATTCACTTGAAAATATACGAGATACAATCAAATATGGATCGTCTACACTATTTCCTTTATCCGTTGTATCTCATCCTTCTAATGATGAAACCTAAGAGTGGAAACAAATCAGACAAGAAACTAACAGTACAATATCACCACACTTCAGCTATCAACAACTACAATGAAGAAGATACATGTAAACAAATTAATTTTAATATATTAGAAAATGAAACGAAAAAATATATTCTATTTTTCTCGAAAATATATATTTTATTTATGGAGACATTTTTGGAAGTTCATGAACTATATCTCTATGTATTTCTTTTATACATATTTATACAATGGTGCAAAAAAAAAACCTTATTTTTTAATGTATAATCATGTTCTCTCAATGAACAAAACTCTAGACATTTGACATTTATACGACAATTTACATTCATTTAAATGAATATATAAAAATAAGGTGCACAATATGAAAATTTTTGATTTGCTTTAATTAATAAATAAAAATAAAATAGAATTTACTTTTCATTAACAACAACCAACAATGAACATAGACAAAATGAAACAATTTTTAGTCTTTAATATTCTAGGTGTATCACAATTTAAAAATACAAAACAAAGACAATGAAAAAGTTTCGCGAGATTCAAAAAATATAGGATCAATATTAGTAAGAAGAAAAAAACTACGCTAAGATGCTAAGAAAAATAGCGTCAAAAAAATCCGAGTTAGTCACTGTTATAACATGTTGCCGTCAAGATAAATGTGAAGAAACGTGAAGATTATTAATATACGATAAAAAATGCTTAATTACATACATTAAGTTTGATGAACTAAGATTTTTTTTCTCCAGTAATACCTTAATAATTGACAACTGTTAAAACACGATATAGACAATGAATTGTCTTAGAATATGATTGATGACATGACAGGTCAATTTACTTAGCCTTCTAATAAAATTGCATAACTTAAATAATATCAAGATCAAAAATAGTGACAATTTTAGGGATTATAAGGTAGTAGTGTCACTGTAATCAAACTAATAGTTTGTAGTAGAGAAGTGATGAATCAGAAAGGATAATTAATGCTGGAGAGAAAAATCTTGACTCAAACTTAGACTGTAAATCGCATATAGCAATAGAGGAAGAATATCTGATAAAAATATGTCACCTAAATAAAGTTTACAAGAAAAATAAATAAATAAAGTATATCGATAGTGTTATAACAAATATTATATTTAAAGAACTAAAAAGTTTTGTTCAACGGTGTCACGAAAATTATTGTGATTCGTAACGATTATATTCACGTTATAAAGAAAAAGGCACACACACACGCACGCACACACACAGACACACACACATGAGTGATCATTATTTTAACAAGAGCAATTTTCATTGTCTTCAGGTTGTGGTTGCGGTGGTTGACGAACTGGAAATATAGATTTATCTAAATAAATCAACACGTTTATTATAATAACAAGGGGCCTGTTTCTTAAAAAAACTTAAGTAGAAAATCTTACTTAAGTTAAAAAAGACAAAGACTTTTTTGGACTTAAGTTTGACTTAAGTCAGATTTTCTACTTAAGTTTTTTTAAGAAACAGGCCCCAGTTTTTTTTAAATATGATAATCAATGCTTGCTGCATCTATCTACTATTATTGAAACAACAAGAGCAATAGCCGTTCTTTGAATAACTGTTGAACGAAAGTAGATGAAGACTTGCGGTTTTCGCTATTCAATAGCCAAAATTTAAGAGCATGTTTTCGTAAGGAGAAAATGTTTAGAAATTTTTTCAAAAAACCGGTTTTAAGAAAATCTCTGGAAAACCGTTTCCTAACTGAAAAATTCGACATAGTAATATATTGATTTTTTTTCATAAATAGATAGACTAAAGTGTCCTCCACAAAACAGAACCTAAGCGAGAGCTTCATCGCTCGTGGTTACGCAGGGAACAAGGTTTTCCTGGGAGCCCTAGGACTGCTTTTCACTTCAGTCAATGAATCTCAGCAATGCATGAAAACATAAGTTTCGACTATGCTGAATCTCCTGGCAAACAAGAAATTTCTAAATATTTTTTGTTACCGAAAACATACTCTTAAGTCTTGGCTATCAGATAGCGAAAACTGCGAGTCTTCATCAATTTCGTTCAACAATTATTCAAAGAACGGCTACTGCTCTTGTGTTTTGGTTTCGATAATAGTAGATAGAAGCAGCAAGCATCGACTATCGTGTTAAAAAATTAATTGATACTTGTATCTAAGTCAAGTACTGTTGCATACCAATAGTTTTTTCCATTCGTTGCATAACTCGTTCTAACAATGTTTCAATTGCTTCTTTAACATTGTGTGCTGTAAATGCTGATGTTTCCATGTACGGTAACTTGTATTTATCTGCTAATTCTTTTGCACGTGTTTGTGACACAATTCGTGCATCTTCTCTATCAGCTTTATTTCCTACCAAAATTACGTCTGGATCATCACAATAGGCATGACTTTGGAGTTGATCTAACCAATTACGAACGTTTAAGAAAGATGTTTCGTTTGTTAAATCAAACATCAATATAAAACCCATTGCATCACGAAAAAATGCCGTTGTTAAACTACGAAATCTAAAAAAATAAAAATGACATAAGTAAAAACTAAAGTGTCATTGGTTAGTTTTAAATATTGTTTACCGTTCTTGCCCAGCCTAAAATAAATAAAAAGACAAGAAAATTGTTAAAAACGTACATAATTTTATTCTATTTTAGAAAATAAACATACGGTATCCCACAATTGTAAATGTATTCTATAGGGCTTGGCATTTGGTGATGTTTTTGGTTTGTAGACAACTCTTTTTTCTCGGAAATCAATGCCAACGGTAGAGATAAATTTTGGATTAAATTGACTATCGGTGTACTGATAGAGAAAGGTTGTTTTACCTAGATAAAAAATAAAAAAATAAAATCCAAATTATAATAGAAGTTATATAACAAAAATTGGATGAACAAGTAATACATACCAACACCAGAATCTCCGAGTGCTAAAAATTTAATTAAATAATCATATTCGATTGTTGGTAGTCCGTTAATCATCGAATCTCCCATGTCCAATTAACGAAATTTAATAAATATTTTTTGCACTCTAGAAAATAAATGATCTATGTTTTTTTTATTGTTTCTGATATTGTGATAATTGTCAAATTATATATAGTTTTGATTTTTTGGATTTAACCTTAAGGCAATACAAAACAAATAATGATTTGTTTTTTTTAATGGTTTTTCCAGTTTTTTTCCTTAAATTATTCGCGTTGGACAATAGGATATTTACATTTATTTATAGCACATAGGATATTTAGTGTCCTATCAAACTCACTGAAAAACAAACTGTTTTGTTAAGCTCTCAGAAAGTGTCTGAAATACCTTATTTTTTTTTCTTTCTATATCAGAATCAAAAGCTACACACGCTATTATCTTAGAATGGTAATGAGCTCCCTCCCCCCTCCCTCTCCACATTTCTATGTGTCGAAATAGAACATATACTTTTTTTTCAAACTTTCGACTAACTGTCAATGAGTTGATGACCGTCTTCGGACGGTGAAAATATTTATAAACACATTTTATAACAGTATTAAACTTGAATAAGTGTTCAGCTTTTTTTGATGGTTAGTTAATTTTAGATCAAACCTGAAGTCAAAAAAGTAATATTGAAATTTATTTTTTGATTTTTTTAGAAGAACAGTCATATCTAGTAGAAATATTGAAACACAACTAACATGCGTAAACAAACAGATAATCTGTTAGTAATTAATAACAATTATTTATTATTAAAAATATTTTTTGTTCTATTTTTTCTTTTCAGCTTTCATATCATCCTCTTTGCTCGTTACCCATTAATTTTTGAAGAGTATACAAATTTTATAGCTAAATTTTTTTTTATACATATAATATTGATCCAAACTTTTCTCAATCATGAACTTCAGTTTTTAAGTGGGATATACATCGTTCAATAAAGAGAGCGATAAACTATTGTAACAATATAATCGTTTATACTCAATCTTTATTTATAAATTCATTGTTTTTCCTCTTTACATACATAAGCGGCAATAATTCTTGTCATCAGTAGAAATGAATAGTTTTTTCTAAATAATTTGACGACAACAACCCGATCGTCGAACTATATAACATAGAGTAATTAGAAGCAGTATTATTTTGCGAAACAGCGGAAGAAAAAAAATATATAATCAACATTTCTAAAACACTCATTAACAGAATAAAAAATACTCAAACTTACGGTATGTTTTATGTAAAAACAAAAACATCAATATTGATAATCTAAGAAAACTTACATGTTTCAAGTGCAGACACAATTCTTTGTATTAAATGACACAATGAGAGATGTGTTGGAGTTTTCAGAGATTAGCTACTTCAATGTGTATGTTCTTTTTTTTTTGTTCTATTCTTATGCCATCTTACGTGGGTATATATGTTTTAGAATAAAAATGATACAAAAACTAAAGAGAAGAAAAAAAAAAGAGCGAGTAGAAAAAAAATAATGGTACCCATAAAAATTTGGAAAAAAAAGAGGAATATGAGAGAAAAATATTTTTTTTGCTGTTAAAAAAAAGAAAAGCGCGAAATGTTGGAAAAAAATTCTCTCGTTTCACGTGTTTATTGCCTGTTGAAGATATGCTGACGTTTTATTTTCTATTAATATTTCCGTCATTTCAAAGAAGACATAAAAATAGAGAAATGAATATAGCTAGAAGAGAAGTAAAAATAACGACTATAGTTTTTATCCATTTTTAAATGACTAATGAAATTGAGAATAAAATACCAGAGGTTGATTCAATTTAGATGTTAATTAGAAAAAAAATTTAAAAAAAAATCTGATGCTTAAAACAAAAAATAAAATTGTTCATTCTGAGGTATGAATGTCATTTTTGTTAACTATCCATTAAAGAAGATCCTAGCTCAAACTTGATCATTTGAAAAGTTAAAATAAAAAGTGTATTAGAAACAGTTACACATATCGAAATCGTGAATAACCAAGTCGATTATTTTTCTAATTATGTTTAAAACACGTGACTTATAAAAAGAAGGTATTGTTTATTGTCGTGTTATCATATCGAGAACAGAAATTGATCGTTTCGCATATATACTACACAGTCATCGAGCATATTTCTATCCCTGTTTAGATACTGTAACCAAAACTTTTAAAATTTTTTCAGATACTTAAACACATTTAATAATTGCGACCAAAACCTATCCTCATGTAATCTGTCTAGTTTTCATCTTTCTTCTCTTACCAACAATCAAAGCAATAACTTATTTTTTTATGATGTTTTTTTGTTTAGAGACATCTCTAGTAAATGTACTTGTACCTGAGTACTTGGGACCTATACTTGCCTTTTTTTAAGACGTTTAAATTTAATTTTAAGTATTTCGTAGCAATAAAATCGAGTTTTGCAACCTTGGAGAAGTGATTTGTAAAACTACATGACAAGTGGATAAATTTCTAGTACTTACAAAGTAATCATGCTTGGATCAAGTACGTTCATTGAGGATTCTGAATACGTTTAGCATTAGATTATCTTTCGTTTTTTTAGTGTGTAAAAAGATTTAAAAGCTTTGGTTGTAGTTCGAGTGATTTATTTTTTATTCTAACGCCTTATCTCACTTTTTTCATTCAATTCATATACCTCTAATTGTTATTAAATCAAGGGGTAAAAAGCACATTCCAGAATGGGTACAAAATTTTTGAAATGCCACTTTAAAATGGTGGACTGCTATTCTGGAATAAAAGAAATTTTTTCAGTTTTGGTCTAAATCTTGGTCTATATACAGCTAACCTCGGCTTCTAAAAAATGAAATGGCATTCCACAACAGACGTATTCCGGAATAGGTACATTTGCCTTTTGTAGTGTTTTTTCTAGCCTGTTTCTTTTTGTAGCCTCTATTTCTACAGCTCAAAAAAAGAAAGAACGTTTTTTCTCTGAATTAAAAGAACTTTCAAATATTCTAGTAAGAGATTATTGTTCATTAGAATTTTGGCTTTGCAACTGTAGTATAAAAGTCGAGAGAGTTATGCATATGGCCTATTTATAATAACTTTAACTGATAAAGTACTTTAATAATCGAAAATCTGTTCTACGGTAATATGAGTTAGAATCGGTCTACCATTTCTGCTGGCAACCGGCTGGTTAATGAGTGTTCCGCAAGCAGAATTGATCGCCCAATTCTAACTCTGACATGCAATACTTTTATTAAAGAATAAAGTAACGTAGGCGATAATGAATATTCCACTGAAATTGTTTAAAATGTTATTTTATAAAATTTTTGGGCTTTTAGAACAACTTCGTTTTCTGATATATTCTCTGAAAATTGAATAGAGAAGTGTTCTCTTCTCTTTTAATTTACGAGATGTAATGAGATTAGAACATTTTTCAAATTTGATTAATACTGACTTCTCTATTTTCCTCGTACGTCTAATTAACCGAGACAACACAAAAAGATACGTCTTTCGCTTCTATTTGTCAAAGAAAATGTTTATATGAAGTGTCATAAGCAATAGTCGAAAAAAAATAGAAACTTGCAGCATATAAAAAAAAGTTATTAAAAAAAATATCAGAAGCCAATTCCTGTTAGAAAATAGGTTTTTTGGTCTATTCAACTGGAAAACTATAGAATATTAAAAGACTATTTATACACGAAAAATATAAAAAAATATTAAGCTCACCGCGCTATTTTTTTTTATAATTCCCGTTAAATATTTACCACTATTTTATTACTATTTATTTCCTTAGTTAATGGAGCATAACGACTCCATATTTCTTATTCACCTACACTGATATCTGTATTTATGGGTGATAAACAAAAGTCAATAGGCTTTACTAAACAATAATGACAAATAAGAAAATCAGAGTTTGTCTCGTTGAAGGAAACTGAAAGTGTGTTCTTAGTGGAAAAATTAGGTTTTTACACATAATCTATCCTTCGATCGAAACGAAAAAAATCAATGAGTGTTTTTAAATAGGATTTTGATTCAAACAAGAGAGTGTGCAGAGAACAGTGGAAAATATTTAGTTTTTAGAAAATCACTATATGGCAGTTCTTTTTCTCTCACATCTCTTAGAATTTCTAAGTCCACGATAGAATAGATTCATTAATGAATTCAAAGAGTTTAGAAAAATCTGTTTCACATGCAATATAGAATAATAATACTTACCAGAGTATTATGAATATGACATTCTTATTTTTCCCAGAAATAGATGAGATGTAGTTCATTGATCATGATTAAAAAATCTGACTGACATGACTTATATGCAACTTAAGTATGTCTGTATTAAATCAGTTAAGTTAGAGCGACAATTTTTCCTTTACGCTTATTTTCTAGTCATTGATTGTTCTAAAGGTTTTAACTGATTTAATTCCAAGAGAAATTTGAACAACTATAAACTGCAAAAGATGTATAGTGTGTATAAATACATCTTTTCACCTCTTTTTCTCATATTTAGAATTGAGCAAGATTAAAATGCTGCCTCACCATGTAACTGATGTTTAGTGAACGATCATATTATTTTTGACTAGTTTTGTTTGATAGATTAACTTTTTATCTGTTTCTACAACGTGATAATATGTATAATCTAGGATTAATGTACACGAAACGAGATTAATCTCATTATCTCTTTTTCTTTTTAAAAAAACAACAACATATGATGAAAGAACGGGATCTAAAATCCTATAGTAATCTGTCCCTCCTCAAAATGTTTTAAGTTCTATTTAGATGAAAGAGAATTCAATTTAATGTAGTTTTTTATATTTTTCGGAGCTTCGAAATGCATTTTGTTATAAAAAAAAATTAAAATAAATTACTACGCTGGATTGCCATTAATAATTTATTTTCGATAGAAAATGTGAATTTTTTTAAATGTACTAATCGATAGAGCTCGACGAGCTGATCAAGAATATGTGCGAAGACTTGCTTAAAAGTAAAAATAACTGTTATTTTTTTATCAAAATAACACTTCAGATCTAACTTTTTAGAACTATATGTCACAGTATTGCGCTTTTCTCTCTGCTATTCAAGCTTTAATGACAAACCATTC